GGGGTTAAATATGTTATATACGACTGTGTATGAACTTTATTTTATGTTGTTTTACACACGTATGTACATGTGTGTTTCGATTATGTACCATACAGCTGTGTATATATGTACAGTATGTGCACGTGTGTGTGTGTGTGTGTGTGTGTACGTATGCAAATTACCCACATAACCACTAAAAGCTAAAGACAAAGCTAGTAGTTACGTCACCCAACAACCTCGTGTGCATATACAGGTCCTCGCCGCCAGGGGTATATAACAAAGAAGCCCTCCAGGTCACTTCCAGGTCCCCTCCAGGTCACCTCCAGGTCACTTCTAGGTCACCTCCAGGTCACTTCTAGGTCACCTCCAGGTCACCTCCAGGTCACTTCTAGGTCACTTCCAGATCACTTCTAGGTCACCTCCAGATCACTTCTAGGTCCCCACCAGGTCACTTCCAGGTCCCCTCACGACCAATTTCAAGTCCCCAGAAGTTCTCCTCCAAGTCCACTTCAAGTCACCTACAGGTCACCTCCAGGTCACCTCCAGGTCCCGATCAAGTCACCACCAGGTCCTCTTCAGGTCGCCTTCAATTAAGTTTGAGGTAATTGACTTTCCTCCCTATTCCATTACCTACGTCACTTCCTAACATATTCTAACTAACGCAACACTAACCTAACACTAACGTAACACTAACCTAACACTAACCTAACACTAACCTAACATAAGAACATATGAAAATAAGGAGTCTGCAATAGGCCGGTTGGCCTGTGCATGGCAGCTGCTGTCGAGAGTTACTACCACTCTCTATCATCCATGAATCTATCCAGCCTCCTTTTGAAACTTTCCAGAGTTCCCGCACTTACTACAAAGTTGCTAAGCTTGTTCCACTCGTCCACCACCCTGTTTGTGAACCAGTTTCTTCCTATCTCCCTCCTAAACCTAAACTTATCCAACTTGAATCCGTTGTTCCGAGTCCTATCCTGCTCGGATATTATAAGAACTTTATCTATATCCCCTTTTATTGATTCCTTTCACCCACTTAAATACTTCTATCATATCTCCCCGCACTCTTCGTCTTTCTAGGGAATGCAAGTTAAGTTTCTTTAACCTATCCTGATATGGAAGGTTTCTAAGTCCCGGAATCATTTTCGTCATTCTTCGCTGCACCGACTCTAGTGAATTTATATCCATTCTATAATAGGGGCACCAGAACTGAACCGCATAATCGAGGTGCGGCCTGACTAGCGCAAGATATAGTTGCAATAAGACCTCTGCACTCTTGTTACTTACACTTCTAGATATAAAACCCAATACTCTGTTTGCCTTATTTCGAACATTAACGCACTGTTTTCTAGGCCGTAGGTCCGGGCTTACAAGTACCCCTAGGTCTCTTTCACAAGTCGACTTCTCTAGGTTGATGTTGTTAAGGCTGTATACATTATCAGTATTTGTTCTTCCAATATTAAGTACGCTGCACTTGCTGGTGTTGAATTTCATTTGCCATTTTTCAGACCACCCCTGCAGTTTATTTAGATCCTCATGTAATGCATTTGCATCCTGCCCTGAATTAATCTGCCGCCCTATTTTGGTGTCATCCGCAAACTTGCTTATGTCACTGCTGATCCCAGTATCTAGATCGTTTATGTAGATTATGAACAAGAGTGGGCCTACTACTGACCCCTGGGGAACCCCACTGGTTACACGGCCCCATTCGGATATAACACCATCTACGCTGACCCTCTGCGTTCTATCGGTGAGCCATGATTTTATCCAATTTAAAACTTTCCCCTCGATACCATGAGCCTTAATTTTTCTCAGAAGCCTAACCTAACCTAACATAACTAAACACTAACCTAACTTAACCCCAGTTGATAAAGTATAATAGCCAGAATGACAAGAAGTGGTTAGTGTTTTCAAGATTCCTCCTTCCGGCGAGTCTTTCTGCCTCCAGTTACATCGCCCTCATTACCTTGGGCGGATCACCTGAAGATAATTAACCCCACCAATTTATTTCAACCTGGTGATTAAATACCCTATTGCTAACCTAACCTAATCTGACTTAGCACTAATCTAATCTAACACTAACCTAATTTAATTTAGTACTAATCTAATCTAACACTAACCTAACCCAATTTAACCTAACCTAACAATACTAACCTAAGGTGTTTAATTAGCAGGTGAAATAAACTGGAGGGGTTAATCTTCAGGTGAGACCCCGGGCTTGCGAAACCTGTTATAATAGATATTTATTCAGTAAAATTATCATGTATATATATAAACAATGCAGGTATACAGTTCAGCATGTATATAAACAATGCAGGTATACAGTTCAGCATGTATATAAACAAGGCAGGTATTATATAAACTCAGGGTAAACTCGGCTGGTTTATCATTACACATAACGCCGGGAAAGTTTACCTTGTATCCTCGTGGTTGTAAATGACTGCGGTGGTGATATTATACTATATATTTTCCGTGAGAGTAAGCTGTCCTGTATGTCACTTTAAATGCACAGTGAACATATACACACTGACACACATGATATCCAAGGAAATTTACTGTGCATTTTGCTTGTTATTTCATGACACGAGAGTATATTGTGCATTTTTGTATACAGTATATTATGCATTTTCCTTGTTTATGCATGACACAAGAGTATACTTTGCATTTTGCCTGCTTATAAACAGTATAACACTAGAAAGTATACTGTGCATTTTGCTTGTTTATGCATGACACAAGAGTATACTTTGCATTTTGCCTGCTTATAAACAGTATAACACTAGAAAGTATACTGTGCATTTTGCTTGTTTATGCATGACACAAGAGTATACTTTGCATTTTGCCTGCTTATATACAGTATAACACTAGAAAGTATACTGTGCATTTTCCTTGTTTATGCATGACACAGGAGTATACTTTGCATCTCGCTTATCTGCACACGACATCCAGAGCTCACAGTACACTATGATGGGCCTGACAGACGGGGAAGCCTCCATGGTCTCCTCTGCGATAATGTAAACACACAAGTTACACACGAACCAAACAGTAGGACCCTGTAGCGCATCTGGTGCCAATGAGTGTCAGGTCGAGCCGAGTCTCCCTGCATAATAGAGTCGGGTGAGTGTGTTTACGTCTTGTATGGAGAGGAATGCGTCAAACTATAAAACTGTGAGAGGGAGGTGGAGGGAGGGAGAGGGAGAACAGGAGAGAGGACGGGAGTGAGTGAGAGAGACGGAGGGATTAGGAAAGATGGAGAGAGGGAGTGGGAGGGAGAGGACGAGAGTGAGAGAAAGGGAGAGGGAAGGAGTGAGAGAAAGATAAGGAGGGAGGAAGAGCGGGAGAGAGTACGAGAGATTACGGGAAAGAGACGGAGAGAGAGAGAGAGAGGTGTTGAGAGTGAGACAATGAGGCAGTCTGCTCAACTCTCATTCATTAATTGGTAAACGTTGATGTACCGCCAGACGAGGTTTTTCATTCGTAGAGACTCATCCTCCCATGACCCACAGGAGCATCATTCTCACGTGTGATTGGAGCTCCAAGCTTCCGACACTCCCAAACATCAGTTAAAAGTGAATATTAAAATCAATAGCTTTAAAAAGTTGCCTTGGTCTCCCCACAGCACCGGGTGTAGGTGAGGGGACGGCTGGAGGGGGAGGGGTGGGGGAGTGGGGACCTGGTAGTGGGGGGGATACGAGAGAAGGGGTACGGGCTGGGAGGGAGAGGGTCGGGCAGGGGAGGGAGGGAGGGAGGGAGGGGGTCGCGCTATGAATGAAACTGGTTAACTTTACGTGAACTAAGTTTCTCGGCGTCTTGTTAAGTCTCTTTAGGGAAGACAGTTGCGTAGTGCCGGGAGCAACTCTCTCTCTTACACACCCTCTCTCTCTCTTTCTCTTGTTACCGGGTTCTACTGGCCTTCCGTGGATTATTGTATATAACTCATGATTATTATAGGATTATTATCGTGCTCGAGGTGATCACTGTGGTCAACGTAAGCACAAGTAAACAAGGGGAGGACTCGTGTCTGTGTGGGTCGACAGTATAAATAATCTCCAACAATTGCTTTCGTACTTTTCCGTCGAGTCGTTGTAATAATTTGCATAAACAGATTTTCGGTAAGTCATCTGAATTTTTTTTTTAATATGAGAGAGGAATAATAATTAGAGCTGTAGTGTTTGTGGGGAGCTGACAGGGTTGTAGTGAAGATGTAATGACTTAACCTTTACGTCGGTTCATCACAGAGATCGTCAACTCAGGTCGCTCTCATGGCTGCAGTAGCGAACTCTTAATGTCAACAAATACTTACAGACTCCACCAGCGACATCTGAAGCCATTATCAAAGCAAGTGATAACCTCCTTCACCGAGGTGGCCAGTTATCACCACCTCCTTCCTCCCCACGACATCTCGCCCCACAACCTGGCCGGTAAATCAAAAGTTGTATCCCGTTTTAGAGCGAGGTTACGACAGGGCGAAGGTGGGTAGGTTGAGCAGCGGCGAGTGTTGTTGGTGGTGGTGACGGAGGTGTTGCTGTCGGCCGCCGCCAGAGACCGCCACCGCCCGAGTCGAACTGTCTGCCTCACGTCGCTCTTCACCCCCTGCCAGCCAGCCCGCGGCCCACCTGCCTGCCCTCCCTCACACGGGAGTGAAACAGCTATATGATAGTCTACTAGAAGTATCCGCTGGGCCCACAGAATAAGACTTGGAGATCGTGGCGTAAGAGTGATGTGCAGGGTATTAATACTATCCTACTGACTCAGGTGTCATTTTATATAACAGGTAGAGGAGACAGGTCGGGGCTGCTGGGCTATGTGTAGGTGGCCGCGGATAAAACCCGTGGAGGAAAATTTCCCGTGACCGCTGAATATTAAGGGTAAAAATGCATCTACGTGTGTCAATGTGCGTATGAGGGGAGTATGTACGTGTGCGTGTGTACGTATGTGTGTGTGTGTGGGTGCCTGTGTGTGGCGGGGTCGTGGCGGGTCCGCTGAGGCAGGGCGGGAGGGTGGACGGAGGACCCGCCGGCCACCACTGCTCAGTCACCCAGCGGACATAGCGGCGCACGGACCTGCCGCACCGCCCAGTTGCCGCTCAGTCCACCACTGGCACCCGACCCAGGCGGCGGCACACAGCGGCGGCTCTAACGCTGCCACCGCTTAGTGTCATCCCCACACCTGGCCCAAGACTCACCTGTGCTGACCTGCGGACACCTATTTCACGGGATACTTTTAATCAATTGGTGATGAATAATGATGTAAGAGAATCTACCGTGTAGGTGAAGAATTTGGGGGATTTTGACCCCAACTCGACTTGGTTTTTGTTGTGAAAAGTGAAGCAAAGAAATTGAAAAAGTTACCTTCAGGAGAGAGAGATAAAGAAGGTGGTGAAGGTGTGTGGTGGTGTTGAGGGAGGTGGTGAGGGCATGATACTGAGGAGGGCCAGGACACACCAGCCACCTCCTGTATGAAACTCCGCAGTCCTGACTCGGATAAGATGGAAGTGTTGTACCCGGGCAATCTGGCTCTGCTGAGCATGTTCCTCAAGAATCCAGAGACCGACAAAGGCGAGATCAAGAAGGACGAAGGAAAGAAAGGTGAGGTGATGTGTTTGTCTTAGTCCACGTCTTGTGTACACTGTCTCACTAGCTCACCTCTACACCCATGTGAGTTATTTAACATATACACGAGTGTTGTCCTGAGTTATGAAGACCGTGTATGTAAACAATCCCGCTCGGGTTGAGGTGTAGTTGATTGTTGAACTTTGTCTCTGTTGTGTTATAGAAGATGTTTATATTATACTCGATCTTCGTTAAAAAAAAATAATAACAGTTTTGTATCACTCGGCATCGGATAATATAAGTCTCCATATATGTATAAATAGAGTGGTTCATTGGGCGACGTGACAAGACTAAATAACTCCGCGCGACGCAACTGTTCCTTCATTAAAACCCTTCAAATAATTACCAGACACAGGTTACTATGGCCGAACTAATGATTCAAGTGGTCACTATACATCACGGATAAAATTGTATACGAAATTGTTCCTAAAGTAAGGATTTTGTTTGTCCCTCTAACACGCAAAACAATAATGTCACACCCACAGTAAGTCACACACCGCAACACTCCCGTCTATAGTGTACCAAACCCTCCAGCACATTCCTCAATAACATGTCTTGGCCATCGTCTTGAAAGAAGGTGTCTGTCGCATCTCGCCCCCTCAGCACGTGGCGTAAGACAAAGACTCAGTCAACACCAGGGGTAGTGACGTCGGTACATCAGCACACATCGGTGACGTGCGATCGGCAACGGAGTAGTTTTTGCACGAGTTGAGCACCAGCAAAAAAAATACACACACACATACACACACACACACTCACATAGGGAGGGTCACACCGCGCCCCCAGCCAGCCAGCCGCCTCCCCGCCTGCTGCCGTCATTCATACTCTTCTGAATATTATGGTTGTGTTGGCAGGGAGAAAATGTATCCAAACAGTCGATGAACACGAGGAGAAATATAATGAACCAAAGATCTGTATAATGATAAATTTACGAGTCCAAGCACAATGAGTGTTGATAAGCAGGAGTTCTGACACACGCCTTGATATATTCCTCATAACAGATTATAAAACTAGTGAGTCATTATATATTCAGCGAGAGCACAAGGTTATTAGAGTTCTTGACAGTCTGGAGGTGTTATTTCCCAGATTTGGATGATGCGAGTTGGTGGTGGTGGCGATGGTGGTAGCGATGGTGGTAGCGATGGTGGTAGTGGTCATTGTTTATAGTGGTGTTCGTTATGATCTATGGTACAACAACAATTGCAAGTGACATATGAATAAAATCCACACACACACACACACACACACACTCAAACAACGCCACACACACTCAGCGGATGTCACTTGGGTACCGAGGTGTGCTTTACGCTGTTTATACCTTTGTAACATACCTGACATACTTCGGTGTTATAAGCATTCCTATAACAAATCATCATCAAGAACCGATGTGTTACGTTATATCCAACTATATTTCTTTACTCCTATATCGGTGAAATGTACAATGATAATGAGGAAGTATTATGCTTATTTCTTTTGGCTTATGGGGCTGTGAAAACCTGTCTGAACTCCCCCCTCAAAAAGTTATTATCAGTTTGTTATGAAAGAATAGATTAATATCACCATAACAGAGATATATTTCGTGTACAGTGTCAGTTATGGTGTTTATATTTCACTATATGTAGTCTGTGTCGCTATTGAACTGACAGACCGTTTAATGAAGATGTTTGTTATTACTAGTTCATATAACATCTCAAATTACAGTATGTCAACAAGTCGGTGATGATAGCTGTAACACAAGAGGTGGTAAGGGCAGTGTGTGTGTGGTGCTCCGCTCAGTGTTAGTAACTTGGTGGTAAACTTATAGTCAAAATCTTGCTGCCAATAAAACTTCACAAAATATCTCTTCCTCTTTTGTAGTTGGTTAGATAAAGTTTGTTTCTTTTAACTCGTGTTAGGGGTTGTAAGTGACGAGAAACGTACTTCTTATATCCACCATCATCAGTGTACACCTCATCATGTGTCTGTCTGTCTGTTTGTCTGTCTGTCTCTGTCTGTCTGGTCAGCTGGCGATGGTTCGCCCGGGGCAAGCAGGAGAACGCCTGATAATTTAGTATCATGCTCATTGCCCCTCGTGTCCACAAGACCAATCAGGCGGAGGGGGAAGGGCAAGGGCCGCTCGTGTGGAGAATTACATTAATTGCTGCTTATTTCCTGCACTGAAGGATGGGCAGGAGGGAGGCGTTGATCGGGTGGATGACGGGGCCACGATTAATGAGAAACAGGGAAGGTGTTGTATGGCCAGGGTGTAAAACTTATCAATTTTGTTTGACTTGCCAAGTGTTTAAAGACAAAGGTAACAAGTCCTTAGTCAGTACGAAGGCTTTTATCACCACTACCAAGAACAAGAACTGTGTGAACAAGAACAAGAAAGAACACCCCAGTACAGTATTTACCGACAAGATTGAGTTTGTTGGACAACCGTGTTAACTGATTGACAAAACTGGAGATGTACAGAAGGCCGGATGCCCTGAAGGATGGAGTTGTGTTAATATTATATCCGGTTGTTGTGTGTGTGGTGGGGTGGAGGGACATGGTACGTGTCCATGTTGAATTGGGACACGCAAATTGGAGACGTCGATTACTAAAACACGTTAATGGGCTAAAAACACGTTAATGGGGAATATCTATTACCAAGACACGCTAATGTGAGCTGTTTACACCACGTTCGTCCCGTTTTTTGGTGACCATGGATGTTGTTGTCAGGAAATGAATCGAGTATTAACCATATACAGAGCTCGTGGTGGAGGTCTATACAGTATATGGTTTGTTTGTCTTATTTATTTGTTTTAAGTTTGTTTACACTGTATTACCATTCTAGATACGTTTAATTTTGTATTTATCTTCTCATTTTAAATTCTCTCTCTCTCTCTCTCTCTCTCCAACCTCTACCTAATCGCATTCTTTGGCCGGTATTCCTAAGCATGTGCATCAAGACATTAGTTTCAGAAGGCATTATCCATTACTCTCCATACAAAGGCATATGGTATTCCTATAGAGGCAAAGCTTAACCCACACACATTGGATTACACAAGAAAACTCATTAGACACAGTAACCATTAGCTAATTAGGCACTCTAGATAACCTATATTAGCATGCACGTAATGGGACCGCGTAAACAGCATCTATTAATATCTATGTATATGGCCCATCTATAGACAGCATCTATTAACCTCTATACATGGAGGAACTACTATAGACAGCGTATGTTAAGGTTCATGTTAAGTGGTGCCTCTAGACAGAACTACTATAGACAGCATAATAGACAGCGTATGTTAAGGCTCATGTTAAGTGGTGCCTCTTGACAGAACTACTATAGACAGCATGATAGACAGCGTATGTTAAGGTTCATGTTAAGTGGTGCCTCTTGACAGCATCTTTTTAACTATGTATAAAGCTGTTGCAGGGTTTGGTTCATTTTCTTCCATGTATAATCAATGTATTTATCTCCTGTATACATATATATGATTCATACATATATCCCCAGTGGAATATATAAATGGATTCTTATAAACAACAACAATTGGCATGTATTTTAAGAATCCCTTTTAAATTAACTTGTATCATTAGTGGCAAAAAAAAAAAACTCAGGAATATTCATGTACTGCATATACCAATACATGTATATACATATATATTCTCAATAGCTATATATCCTCAATGACTATTTCCCCAAACGCCTCATTCCTATTCCGAGTGCCCAGGAATCAAGTCATCAATGAGGCTAGAGAATGACCCCTCAATTCCCCTCTGCTCGTCCCCTCGAGGAGATGGGAGGGCTGGAGGATGACCCTAGTGGAAATTAATGTATATGTATGGCGTCCCTATGAGCAGGGTAAATTGGTCACTCCTGTGTTATGGCCTGAGAGAGATTACCAGGGAGATAGTGAAGGAAGGGGGGGGGGGGTCATCCATGTATCGTCTCTTTCTGTCTTGTCTCTTGTCTGTCTCTTTCTGTCTATCTCTGTCTGTCTGTCTCTCTCTCTCTCTCTCGCTCTTCTTCTTCTTCTTTTGATGTGTATGTCCGTATGTTTCTCTTTCTCTCTTCTACTTTTCATCCTATTAGTTTTCTCTTTCTTCCTTTCTCTCTTTCTTCCTTTCTCTCTTCTCTCCCTCCCTTTGTCTCTTCTCTTTCTCTCTTCCTCTTCTTCCCCTAACTTAACCTAATCTGTCTTCACTTATATTCATCCCCGTGTTAATTACCGTGTTTATCTTCCGAATTAATGTATATCACTTCTTAGTCTCTTATCATTAGCATGTGGGAGTATGTTAGTAGTATACCCTCCTCTCCCCGCGTGTCTCACATACTCACACGCGCGTGCACTCAAAATACTCTCCATACTTTTATTACGGACTGTCTTCTCACTCACCCTTAAAGCGAATGAGTCTTTGAAGGAAGGTTTGAGTGATTACCAATTACGTACTAATTAGCGTGTGGATTTTTCTTATTACGTAGGTGATGCTGTGTGTGTGTGTGTGTGTGTGTGTGTGTGTGTGTGTGTGTGTGTGTGTGTGTGTGATACTGTACACATAGGGTAAGGGAGGGTGGTAATGTTTGCACGCATTTCCCGCCTTTCGCGTAAGTGGCGGCGTTATGGCGTTAAAACCTGCGGAGTTTCACGCCCTTCTTCCTGTTTTCTCGTCACCTCTCGATCCCTAAATCTCTCGTTCTTCCAACCCTCCCCCTCACTTCGTCTCCTCTTCTTCCTCCTACTCACACAAAATTCTCCTCTGTCTCACCCCCCACGACCCTTCACGTCCTCCGAATCCCTCCCCACCCCTTTATATCCAACCCCTGTACCCTCCCTCCCTCTCTCACCCTGACCCCACCCACGCAGTTAGCCGCGTACGAACGCATCCGAAAACTTTCTGAGAGAGAGAAAAAAAACCTCAAGACTACGACTTTAACAAACAGTTTCATAATCCAGAACTAAGAGAAGTCGAAGAACTTCCTGAAGTTAACCTTACGAGGGAAAAAA